AGTATACAGATATATACAACTCGACGAGGGCTACAAAACTGTCATGCTTAAAGCCTGCCTGAAGAAAGTCGATGTAAATTTGGGAGGACCTGCGTGAAAGCACCCCTATTCCAATTTTCGAAAATCAAAATCTTTGTCATGGTGAAAATGAAAAATGAACGATTATATACCATTCGATAGAGAATTTCATGGGCTACAAAATGGTGCTAAATTATAGGGGCAAATATGCTGTGTTTGAAATTTCCTCAATACCTCAGTGCCAAAAAACTATGAAAAACTCACGTATACTGACACTTTGTTTGTATGATATGTGTTTATTTCCCATAGAGCTAACGTTGTTTTTATGAAGTAGATAGAACTTGTCAAGAGCTCTAAATGATGATATATTATACAGGTAAATATGGTTCATTTAACGTTTCCTCAATATTGCACTTCCCGAAAACTATGAAAAACTGATGCATACTGACACTGCTAATTGATTCTTTCAGGCAGTTTGATCAAAATCAATCTGTCGGTAATTATGTTTTATTGTTTTTATCAGTCTAATAGAAATCTTTGGACGGTCAACGATATATATATATATATAGCTATATAAAATAGAAGAATGTCCTTGATATTAGAACATTCTATCGGAACAGAGGATAACTAAAATTGATGTCGAGGATATGCACTGTTGTATTGATGATATATTATTGAATAAGATAAGGCTATTGACTATTTACTAAGTGATTTCTTTTGTTTATATAAGTCTTTCTATTGATCAAGCAGATATTCACATCAAACTAATTGCGTGATTAATTTATTCATTAAATAAACCAGTTGGTGAAGCGTTAAGAAATTCATAAAAAACTAAAACTGAGGGTGTGGGTGTGGGTCCTTCCTTAACTCACACACCCACACCAACCCCCCGCCCACACGTGATTGACTGAGCAACGCCAGCGAAAAAAGTGAAAATCAGCTCCCTTTTCATGGATGTTTTCTTGCCTTGCCCCAAACAGACAGACAGACAGACACACACGTAAAAGCATTTTCTTTTCGTATGACCCTCCCTTCAGTCGAGGGAATATTAAGATTTTCTCAAAAGATCACATCCTCCACCGGAAAAACAGATTTCGAAATTTTTGAAAATCTGACTTCGGATTCGGATTCCTAGGCCCGAATTTACTTTCGTCAACCTTCATCGAATATCGTGAGATGCCTCAGTCCGTGAGTTCCGTAGTCCATGCATGGAAGCACGAAAGGAAAGATTTGGATGGAGCCAAAACTCAGTATTGATTGCACCGGCATGAACGGCCAAAGCCGGAAATCCCGGTCTGTTCCCGGGTTTGGTGCATGCCTACACCCGAGAGACACCTACGAAATATAGTGACTACTGGAAGGTAAATCAGGGCAATAGATTAAAATCGCTCCGAGGTTACTTTCTAGCCTCAGATTGATCAGTTCTTAGAACAGATATTTGCAAACCGCTCAGATCAGGTCAAAAGAACTGTCAGAATAGATCTCATGATCTGATCTGATTTGTTCGAACAGTTCAGATCGGATCAAGAGAACTGTCGGAGCAGATTTTCTGATCTGATCTGATCTTTTCGAACAGCTCTTTCGCTCATGTGATCTATATGTGGGTCTGAGATCTGTCGTACCCCTATCTGTGAAACAATTTTTCTCGTATTTGATCAATAAACTTTCCTTACTATTAACTGTTATGCAACAATTAAGCGTAGAGCAGACTACGCGAGGCTGGTTCTCAGGCCACTCATGCTGGTGAGAGTCCTGTCGGATTCATAAAATGCTGATCGACTCTTGGCGGTAAATGTTTGAATCTTTGCTCCCGGATTCTGACTCTCGGATATCACTGGATTTCGATCAAATCTGAACCAGAATCTGGGAGCAGGGATTGAGTAGCCTCGTTAAGGCAATGTACATACATGAGTATAACGTACAAATAACGACGACAGTAACCGACTGTACATGAGAAGGCCTTCCTACACACAAAAAAGTATTTTACCGAACGTCCCGAAAAGGTTCTCCAAAATGCGTAGAATCTAGAAAAACGTGTTTTCAAATTTGTGAAACCTTTAAAGGTTCTTCCCTTTGATACACGGTCCGAACCTTCTAATACAAAACTTTTAGAGTTTTGCATTGCACACTGATGGTTTCGTATGAACCCGAATCTAAATCATGATGATTCAATAGGGTGTGAGTATTCATGTGACTAATACTCACATACACCACCATACACTTGCATCCTAACAAATTTTTGCATAATCATTCTGACTTCTATATGAAATAGCACTACGAAATCTAGTACATACAATTCGTGCATGTGTCAAGAAGTACCTCATCAAATAGAATGAATACATATACAATTCTTATTTTTTAATACTTTGTAACTATTAAATTTTCAACCTCAAAATTATATAAGGAATACAAAATTATGTGTTTTATTAAGTATTTTATTCGATCATACGATGCTTGAAAAATCATTCATCATCAATAAATAAAATATCCGTGCTGAAACAGCAACCTTTTAAATAAACTTTGATCAGTACACGTAAAGAATCATAGATTTTACTGTTATTCAGTTATTTATATTAGAAAAGAAAAACATCTTGACTTTTTGTTTTCATAATCGACCAAAAACAAAGAAATAAATCTTACTAAATCCTTTTGTCAAACGAATATTAGATTACATATCCCAATCGTCCAATAATGTCAAGATAGTTTATCGTGTTTCACTAACTGAGAACAGTCTCTTGTATGTGCGTGAACATGAAAATATGTATTTACTTTGTCTTAAAAAAATCCTCGCCCAAAGCTTTTTCTTTTACCAATAATAAAGCAAATAAATATTTAATTACAAAAAACATGTTTCATATCCACGCGTGTATAATAGATGAGTCAATGTTTAACTTATTATGGTGCAATACATATTTGAGAGCCACATAGATTTGAACAGCATTTTTCAACGCCTTTGCAATCATTGTCAACGTCACAAAAATGTGCATCACATATACCCCAATATGGATTTTTATCCATTGAATCAGGTTTTGGACATTGACCTGATTTCGGTTCATTGTCTTTTGGTACAATACATTGGAAGCCACATGGCTGTGGAACACGAAAACAACACTTTGTACCTGATGGACATTCATCTTTTTCCATTGAACATGTTGATTCACAGTTTTCTGTTGGTGGTCGCATGAATCCATAGCCAGGGCAAACTTTTTGTCCAGCATTGGCAATCGAAACAATCACCAAAATTAATAAAGCATATGAGTACGGCAGCATATTTTCTATAAGAAATAAATCTTCTAAAATAAATAACAGAATATATAATATGTCGTCATTGGTGTCCCGTTGATGAAATCCTATAAAAATGTAAAAGTATAAATGTAAATGCAAGTAAATATATGACAGCGTAGGACAGTATTCTGTTTTTTTTATGTTAATCTGCATATATTTTTCTTCATTTAGTCCCGGTGTAGAATACAGCTTGTGTTGATCTTCAAATTGAGTTTACTGAGTAAATATAGAAAGGTAAAGATAAGATTGAGTATCAACCATTTTCTTTTTTTAGATGCCATTAGTGTACGGTCGCAGAGTTTAAGTATGTCAGATATTAAATCCATGACGATCTTGAATTTGTACAATGCAATTCATCAAAAACAAAGTCTAAATTTCACATAACCGTCTCAGTTAAATAAATGACATTTTTGTCGCTTTTAAGCATTGTCTTTTGACTGAAAGTGTGTACAGGTGCCGATACTAGTCTCCTTTTCCCACTTATATCCATTATCATTAAAAACAATACTTTATCTTTTACCGCACTGAGCAGAATTCCAAAGTACAATCGTGGAGACAAGGGCGTTTATTTCATTATCCATCACATTCATTCAGTCTCTTATCAGCAGAGTTGAGCAAAAATCTTATATGCCATTGATATTTTATGTCTTTGAGATACATAGTCTAGAAAAAACCAGAATCAATTTCTATTCAAATATCGAATAGGAATTTTAGCGCACTTAAAAATGAATCATGACATTTAACTGATGATCAAATAGCTACTCCGCTTAGCATCGTAAGAATTCTTAGAACAGAAAATATCAAAACTTACACCATGAATAACTATTTCACCCATTTGACAGTTCAATATTACATAATCCCATATCAATACATATAAATAAAATAGACTCTTTCTTCATACAAAAATCTAATATCTTTTAATTTATTGACTTCTTCAGTTGGCAATAACATTTTTTTATCTATGGATTTCATTGGAAACTTTTTTAAGAATATTTTATGCTACATATAATCGACAACTGTGAGCCCGAAACTAAATCATACGCACTCGTAAACGACAACATAAAATTACCTAGACGACTGTCACTTTGGCGCAGTAATATATTACACTGCAATCGTAGTCTATTCATAATAATTACATATGAATATAATCTCACTTTCAAAATGAAAAACAAATCCACAACTAGTACCTTCAGAAGTGTAATACTAGGTAAAAGAGTAAGGTCATTGTGCTAACTCCCTAAAACATTTCGATTAATTTTGTTCGAAACAAATCATAGATAGCTATTGATAGCAATACTGGATTTTATTCTCCAATAGCTCTAAAAACAAAAACATCGACTCAGAGATCTTACAAAGCAAAATCTTCTTGAACTATCCGAAATTATATGAATCCATAAAAGATACTAGCATCTGTATCTTTTAAATAATATCGAAGTCTTCTGAAAGTAGTAGGGTTGCAAACTTTTTAACTTGTTACTCAACAAAATGTGTAAATCTAAAAAGAAAAAAGAAATCTTCAGTTTTTCGTGATGCCTTCTCTTGAAGTAAACCATATACACAAAAATTAGGACATTATTCTATTTACGATCGTTCTTTGCAGAAATATAATCACACTCTCCTAATTATGATAATGGACATAAGAAGGCCTTCTAGTAGAAATAAGTTTTATATATAACTGGTTAATCGAATGTTTAAATATGAAAAATGGTTCAAAGCATTTGATCTACATGAATGCTGAATTATATCTATTTTTGAATAAAAATGGATGGAATTTTACACATGCGTTGGAATAGTAATTGAAATTTTATTTTTACATGATTGATTGTGACTTATAAATTCGTTTGATGATGCCTACGCATATCAATATGTCTGTAATTATCTATAGACTATACTTTAGTTTTATGAATAAATAAATGACACACTGATAAGATAGTGCATGTTAACCAAAGACCGTGTAGAAATTTAAAAATAACTTCGATCTTTTCTTCATGTCTAATGAAGCATTCATTCATAACTTTGTGGTTATTTATGCATAGAGAAAAACAAATATCATACGAGCAAAAAAAAGTGAAGTAAAATTTTTGCCCTTTTCTAATCATTTATTTTAAACTTTTAGTGACGTTAAAATGTGTTCTTTCAATGTAAGGCCACATTCTATTATAAAAGTAAAAGAAAGATATTTCAACCTTTAATAATATTGTATTTATCTCTCATATTTTCAATGTACATTTTAATTAATAAATCGAGAATTACTTCTTTCTTTGATTTTCTAAGTAAAGAATAAAAAAAGTATTGAAAAATCTCGATGACAGAGTACATATTAAAATTGGTGTAGTACAAAAGAGAACAAACATGCACAGTATAAAAAAATAGTGAAACACACAAAAGCGTATAATTGAAAAATTAAACAGAGAACGAAACAGAGAGATCAAACTCTGTACAAATAAAGAAAAAAAAACATGAGATGTGAGTAAAATCTAGCACCATCACTAACACTGTTAACGTCAACCGATGAGATATAATAAATCTATGAATTTCGACGAGAAGATGCTTGTTGTTGATGTGATCTATTCAGATAATGTTTTGCTAGAACGAAAACACTAATATCAATGAATTTCTCAATTCAATATAAAAAGCAAAGCACCAAGGAATATATATGTATATACACGAAAAAAAGCGGAGTACAAATCCCGAATAACTCACCCGTTGTTTAGTGATCATAAATCTTAAAATTGAAAAAGAATGCAAAAGAAACTATTGTGATATAGACGCATGCAAAATCTCAAATATGTGAATCAGTGATAATTGTTCAAAGGAGATCAAAAGTAAAGTCAATATGAACTAACCTGCAACTTGTCGACTTTTTTCTTTTGCTTCTTCAGCCAGTGCGGATTGCAAATTAAGAGCCTAGAAGTTAAAAGGTTCTATTTACAAATTCGATCTTGCGAAGATTAGATTCTTAGACGTAGAAGCACTTTTAAGTTGATATTTTCGGCCTTGAAATAGATCTCTTGTCTAGAGGCCTTATTTAATAGACTCAACTATCGACAAGCTCTAGTAAAAGTTTTCGTTATTTAAACATGTATTATAAACAGTCGTTTTTACTTATTTATTTACACGTCTGTATATATTTATTGGCTAATGAAAATGAAAAGTAAAGAATAAGTTTTCAAGGGCGTAAGAGAAAGGTCGTTTAACTCAAATGTTGAATAGTACATGCTGAAATTTAACCTAAGGCTTATCGATAGCAAAGTCTATCGAGTTAAGTAGTTTAATGAGAAAGTACAAGTCTGAAAATCGATGGATTGATCAGCTCGAAAAGTGCTCCAGAATTACATTCAAACTGCACAAATCCTATGTATGTATTTATAACATACTTTTTCTCGTTCTTTTTCCATTCGTCGTTGATTGTAAGATGAATGAACATCTCCATCATTGTAATCTAGTTCATCCGGTATGCTAAAAGAAATCAATTGAATAATAGACCAAAATTAAACAAAAATATCGACTACTCTTACCTTTGTTTTGAAAGCATCTTTCGTACTTCTTCTTTCTTTTTTATTTTTGCTAAACGTTCATTTGGTGTTAACAATTGATCATCATTACCAAAATCAACTAATCGATCAGGTATATCAACTTTATCAGGTTTAAATATCTATTTGCATGAAAAGAAAAGTTTTTATTATTGCAGAACAATTCATTTCTATCTAATACTTCTTTATCAATTGTATCAATATCAAAATCTTTTTTTGTTTCAGTCATTGTACGTGAATGTGGATATGGCTTAAGAATACTCTAAAATAAAAGCTCATTGATCTTTTAACAACTTTTCCGCCTGTAGATATTTACATTTGGCATAACTCCATTTTCACGTCGAACACTTTTTACGGTTGCAAGACGTGTTGCTGTTATTGTATTATTATTACTATTATTTGTGTTTAGATAATTATAATTTCTATTTGATGACCGTTTTGTAGATGTTCGTATTCCATCACGATCCTGAATGAATACAAAACAATAAATAATTCTAATAGAAGGCAAATATATAAATAACATACGAAATTATCATTGAACGGACCACGAACAGGTTCTGATGGATCTTGAAAGCGAGTTGCTGAAATAGATCTTGTTTCTATAAAGATACGAAATTGCATTTTGCTTTTAATGACAATTGTTTTTATCTATACTCGTTGGACTTGGACTTCTACGATACCATTGATAATTTTCATTAGGATAATTAAGAGTACGATTATTCGGACTATTGCCTAAGAGAAATATTAAACATAATGAACGCAGAAAAGCAATCACAATTATTTACTTCGATTATACTGTTGATTTGTTGGTGTATGCACACTCATTGGGCGTGTTTGATAACGAGGTGACCGTTGAAAATCATCCTAAATGTTTCATTATTAAATTAATTATAAATTCAAACAATCAAATGAAACCTTCGGTCGATCAAATTGATATCTTGCTTTCATGGCATCTACATCTGTTTCATTATATGAACGCCAATTATTACGATTTGGTGGTACTACTATTCCTACGAAAAATCAAATAATTTACATAATATGAAGACATATGATAGAAACATTTTCTTACCATCATCAAGTAATGGCATCGTGTTCATATAAGATAAAATATATTTTTCTAATGAACGTAAATTTGATACTAATTCCGTTAATTGCTATTCAATAGGAAATTTTCATAATATCAAAATAATCTCCGCTTTTATTTATTTTTTGCTTACTTGACTAACATTTGAAACATAACCATCAGTTGTATTTATTTGTTCACGTAATAATGGTAGAACACTTTCTACTCGATTTTGTTCGTTTGTAGAATAAATTTGACGGTTCCATTGAAGTAACGAAGTAAAATCATGTAATAATGACTAAGATTAGACAAATCGAAAAAAGCCGTTAAATTAATCCCAAAGGGATTACAATGCAAAACACGATACAACTACTATTGTTCATTACAGACACATTACTTTATTCTATCTATTCTAGGGCAAATTTCTTTGCTGTGTTTTTACTTAATCCTCTAGACATACAATAAGGAAATAATTCATATACTATAACGAGACGTTATGGATTTACGGTCTTTGATTGCATATCAACAAACGTTATTTTACGGTCTGTCGGAGTAGTTTCAATTTTTTATGCGCATCATCTGCAGTCGTTACGCATTTTGTTACACACAACAAAAAAGTCTCAATTTTGTGACTAAAATCAATTGACATACCTGATGTTGAAGCAATGATGATAACTCATCTTGAAGTTGAATAGCTAACATGAAGAAAAAGAAATTTTAAGTAATTATATTTAAAATGACAGTTTTGAAAGTTACCTAATTTATCTTCAAGTAATACACGATCGATATCGTTCTAGAAGCAAAAAACAAACGTCTATAGAAGAAGTACAATAGCAAAACTAGATATTTTACAAGTATCGACAATTGAGTATCTCCAAGATCTTTACGTGAGTTTAATGTTTGAATTGAATTTATTAATGTTGAACGACGTTGCAGAAATGTTGTCTAATTAGAAAGATATTTACATAAATAATATTGATTTCTTCGGATTTACTATTTTTTTTTTAATACAAACCTCACTTTTTACTATTGACCAGTCGTATGAAGAAATTTCTTTAAGTAAATGTTGAAGATCAACAATCTTTTAAATACAATAAAATTTTACTAAATGCAAGCGATTCAAAATTCAATACTTTTCTATCCCATATAGGTTTACAACGTTGTAATTGTTCGGCAATTTTTCGACAATGATGCATAAATACCGATTTTTGTGGTGATGAGCTTAATAATAGAATCAAAATAAATATGAAACTAAACTTTAAAAGAGAAAAAAAAACAATTATTTAATACTTGTTTCTTAAAAATAGATTTCCACCATATAATTGTTCAGTAATTCTTTCATAAAATGCTTGTAAATGATGGAGTAATTCAATATATCTTTTAATAACTTTCGATAATTTCGTTATTGGTTCATGCTAATTTTAAAAAGAAATATTATTATTATTATTAAAATATAGAATTTTGCTTCTTTACAATTTCTTGTTCATAACGTTGATTACCACTCATATTCGACATAGCAGATATTGGCCGTGTTGATACAGCTAAAAGAAAATGTTGTTGTTGTTTAAGTATTTTAATCAATTTTTATTTTTCAATCTTTACGCATTTGACGAGTTGGTGATTGAGAAGTATTGAACTAAATAATGAAATGTATATCGTAGCAAAAGAAAACGAGAAAAAGAAACAATTAATACAGAGATCAATATTGACCAGATGACCCGTACATGTATTAATAGTGATCATCAACTTCAATACACACTAGTATACATATTCATATGAAAAAGATGAAGAGAAATGATACTCAGTTTTCTTCTCATTACTCATACAAATACTCAGAAAACGATGTCCCGATCTGATTAAACATACAAAGAACATGATCTCATTTTTCTTGTGACCCAGAAAAGTATAAAAAAGAGAAATGAATGAGCACATATATACTTTAATCATCCAGAGAGAGAGAGAGTGAAAGAAAAACTTACTCCGCCTCGTTTACTACTTATTCGCGGTGATTGAACCCAACCAGTATTCGATGAAGGTGGACGCGTTATCAGACTACTTCCAACACGATGATCTCTGTGTAGAAAAAATAAATGAAAACAAATTATATTATACGTCAAATTGCTAAAGATAAATGTGTTCAGTCTTAAATCATTATATGATCTTGACTTTACATATGAATCAATGTAATAAATTTTATTTCGAAACAAACCTTTCTAACATACGATTTTGCCAAGCCATTAATTCATGTTCTGTATAAACTCGATGATGATGATGATGATGATTTGGGCTTGTCCGAGGTCGATCATGATATTGATATTGCTGATAAGATTGTGTAATATGAGGAGGAGGTGGAGGAGATGTACTAGTTATTGGTGTAGTAAAATCACCTATTGATTTTGATCGTCGACGTAATATTGATCGTGTTGATGATTGCCGAGATCGCATTGTTGTTGTAGGCATATATTGCTGCTGTCCTGGTAAATCATCAGGCGGATAATAATCAGATTGTACAGTACGACTTGGTCCGAGAACGAGACGATCAACAACCGTAAAATCGGTACCGTCACGATGTCGAGTTAATGTAGGTGTTCGCAATTTAAAACGCTGAAGAGGAGGAGGTGATCTATTTACAAGTGGTTCATTATAATCTCCTATCGATTCATCTACACGTCTTGATGTCCTAGTAATTGTACGATGATCAGTGCTGCTGTTGTTGTTGATATTATTGTTTGATGTAAGCGATGACGGTGTCGGTCCATTTGTTGAACGATTAACATCAAAGCCCCACGAACCCATCGTTGTTGACGATGGTTGATGAATAACACCATTACCAGAGGTCAACGTATAATGTGGTGACGGTGAATGTGTACGATACCAACGATTGTCTTCCATATCCTCCTCCTCTTCATTCGAACCTACATATCGAGTTTGATCAAGTAAAGTTGTTGTGGTTGCTGTAACAGGCATTACTGGTTTATAAGATCTATAGACGAGAAGAAGAAAAACAAAACAAAAATCAGAAAATAATGTTTTGTTAAAACATAATGTTTTTAAAATCAAATATGATTTCTTATTTGCAATGCAATTAGTGTATACCTTATTTTTGACATCGCTTACGAGTGAAAACGAATATAAAATTCTCTTCGTTTTTGTCTTGATGCTTCGTCGTCATCGACGTTAAACATTGAAGAGTAAATTTTCATATTCGAATGAATGAATGAATGAATGAATGAATAAAACAGATTGACTAAAGAAGGGTGAGATGACGATAACTGTGGTGCAGCTACCGTTTATATCGAACGGAAGAACAGAGCAATACGACAGTACAGTCAGAAAAAAAATTGCGAAAAAAAAGAGAGGAGAACTTCAGTTCTATATTCGATTACACAAATTGACACATAGGCAAAGCAGTAGTAGTATATGGGGCTGCTCTGTCCCTCTGTCTCTGTCTCTGTCTCTGTCTCTCTCTCTCTCTCTCTCTCTTTGTCTCCCTCTATGTTCCTTTATTTCTCGTATGCTCACGTACTGAATGAAACTGAATTTAAATGAAGAAAGAGACCGAACGCAAATGTACATAAATAGAACTATGTATGCAGTGACTGTCGTCTCAATATTGCATCACAAGAGTCTATTGTAGAATCAATGGATGAATGAGAGAGAACGAGATAGTTAAAAAAATTGTCATCATCATTATGATTACGATCATCATTACCTTTCTCGTGACTTGTTTTCAATTTTACAAGGCTACATCAGTCAGTAAGCAGGTCATTTTTGCTCATATGCACACATATATATATATATATTTAAATACAAATCGATAATTGATGATTGACGAGCCCGTTCACTTATTTTCATATATGACACTTTAAAAGCTGTCAAAAAAAGTATAGAAAATATGGAGGCGGATAGGTGTTGGCGACAAGAGTAATAGTATGTAATAAGCGTTCGTCTTTTTTTCTTTTTCACTAACATATAAGGTTTGCTTGTCATCTAATTAGAACTATTGTAAACTGAAGCAAAAAAAAACAGAAACAAAAAAAAAGGGACGAGCAATAAATAAGTGTGATCGACATAAAGTTTCACATGGGAGTGATGATGATCTATTGCATAAAACAAAAATGATTGTCGAACGCACAGCATGCAAGATATGAACAATAATGTTGACTTAAATCTTAATCGAACCTCAGACACTTTCCGGGACCATATAGGTCATCAACATGTGTGTGTGTGTATACAATCGCTGCTGTGATAGTTAAACTGCAGACATTAATCTCAAGCAAGGCCAATGTAACAACACGAATGAAATAACAAGGGCATATGCATATTGGTCTCACCAAAAAAGAAAAAGACTAGTTCATAGCGCCTCTCATCGTCGATAAGACTTACTTGACACATATTGCTTGTTTTATATTTTTCATTTTTTTTTTGATCATGAAAGCAACTTGTAATTTTTACCTAACATACAAACTTCTATCCCGTTATCTACTTCTTCTTTCTCTTTTATATACTAGCAGTTATAATGACTCTTAACATTACTACTATCTTACTATTACTCGCCAGTGAATATAGATGGATGGCATTCAATGCTCGTTTTGTCTTGACCTATGCACTCTCTTATTGCATCTCAAAAAAAAAAGAAACAAATCCTCTTTTGCGCTCAATCGAAACTGGTAGCTCCGCTTGTAGCTAACATCTCAAATTTCTCTTCAACTGTCTTATCGATATTAAAAAGTATGAATATGAAGAAGAAGAACAATATTTCTTCTCGTCTTCTTCTTCTTTATATTAGTTTGACTAGCGTTACTATTACTTTTAAAGTAAACTCCTCACTATACATTATATACATCAAAGAAAGAATATTGAACATAACATGAACATGAGACAGTATAGTACGTTCATCCATCCATCCGTCTATATGAAGAAGAAAAAAATTACAAAAACACTGTTGAATGTTTTTTCAACGTAGAGACTCGGGTGCACGCGCCCGCCATCACCGCCGGTACACAATTGAAAATTGATAATATTAGATGGCTGCACTAAAGAATACCGGTAGACGTTATATGAAGAGCAACTGCATGTGAGTGCTTATGTATGCGCATACAATCATTCATGGAACAGCATAAACTGTGCTTCACGTCGCAATTGAGATGCAAATTGCCTTTTTTTTTGTCATGAGCCTTTTTTTCTTGATCACTGTTAATCAGCTTCGTTTACCAGATGTAAATGAATAAAAGGGAACAAAGGGAGAGAACGCGAGACATAGGGAGGGAGAGCTGTGCTCTTTCAAGTTAACGTTCTTTTTTTTTCTTTTTGAATAAAATTTCCCTTACTTATATGGTGATCTTGAACTATTAATATTCATCGAGCCATTATAATCTGATTCGCTATCAGTATCGATTGGATGCAAATCAGTCGCAAAATTAGGCCTAATAATAAAATTAACATTGAAATAATCAATAGTACAAGATGATTTACTCGACAAGAAGATCATTGGCAATTGAAGCTGAAAGACGTAAAACATTAATCCATTGTGTCATTAACTGTTTACTATCAGCTGAAAAATACACTGGCTTTTCACTTGATACATTTGGACCATAAATCTTAATAGTGAAAATTGCACTTAAAAAAAAAGAAACGAAAAAGTAATTGTTTTTAATTACTTTAAAAGTGTATCTTTTATGCGATATGGCATCGTCTGGATTTGTAATAGATACACAATAATTTTTAATGTTGATCGTGTTTTCAAGACGCTTATGACGAGAATCTGTAAAAAAACAAACAAAAGAAAGAATTGAAGCGCATGCATTTTTTGTTTAAGTAACAATATATAAAATAAATATTTAAACAAAATACTATTTTTACCTTGATATATAGCCAATTGTTGATTTTGTAAATGAAGCCATCGTTTTTTCCAATGTTTGAAAGTTTTATTGGCATAATAAATATGTAATATACCTGATTTTTCCACAAGGTTCATTCTTCGATAATTAGAAGAAGATAACATTTTTTTTACAGTTTCAATTTTTTTAACAAAAAAAAAGCAAATGGAAAATGAAATTTATTTTCAATCTCACTTGCTTAGTCGACAATAGTACATTTTATTGATACGGATCTAAACGTAAATTCTTCTTTGTCTTCTTCAATCATCCATAATCTTCTGCTTGCTTAAATCAATGAAAAAATCATAAAGCAAAAAATAGAAACGATGAAGAAGAATTCGATCTATTTCTCTCTATCTACCAATCGACCTTGTCCGTATATGTGTAGATTGAAAAAGGGCGTACGGAAAAAGACATTTTACAAGTAAACACAGACTAAATACTGCCCGATAGTCTTCATGATCAACTCAAGATAAGAGCGTAAACCTAATATGCATTACACGTGTTTGTCTATCCACGTAGTTCATTTGTCGGACACTTAAAATATTGATATACGCTACCTGTTGTTGTTGGTCATATTCGATGTTGCAAATCTAGTTGAATATTATCGACAGCTGTTCTTGTTTTTTCGTATGCATCATAAATGAATAAATAGAATATCAAGTTCGGCCAAAGTATCACCACTTACCGTCGATTTTTTTTTAAAGTCATTAACACTCTGCAAAGAGAAGGAGGAGAAGAAGAAGAAGAAGAAAAGGAAAGGAACTTCTCCTCTTTCCTTTTTCCTCTGATTTTGAATCACGTCTATTTACGTGGAAGAAACAGAATGCATTCAGTCAGTAACGCCACAAAAAAAATGAATCAGATCACACCTTGCTTGCATAAGCAAACAAGCAAAGCACAAATGGTACTTGTCATAAAGCCGCAGGCACATGTGCTCATAAACCGATTGAATCACATACACTTGCCAGTTTATGAGATGCATTTCTCTTTTCTTTCGAAATCATCTTTTAAGATAAGTTTACATTAGAGTGAAGTGAGACATATAGATATAGTTTATGTTTGTAACATCAAGAATATGTGTTATACAAGACCCAAAAAAAAAAATAATACACATTCACACAGTAACAAGAAAAATACATCTTCAAAAATGTATATTTAATGAATACACTATATCTTTTTTTTTCTCGTTCATCCGTACGTTATAATGTACAGAAAAAAACAGCAATTGAATTTTATTTTTGGTTATTAATCTTTTTCTATCTATAAGATTTATATTTATACATTCACATATATTCTATTACTCCAAATAAACAAACACATAGCCGAAACAAAAAAAGAAGAAAAAGAAGATGCTTTCACTAGTATTACGACGAACGTTTATCTTTTGTTCCACGCCGATTGCTTTTCGGTGATGGTGATGATGATGACGATGATGCTGAACGTAACTGAGGTTTTTCATATGGAAAATTTACACGAGAACGATTTTTTTGAGTTTTTCGAACATTTGCACCATTAACTGGTGGCGAACCTAAAATAAAAAATCCTTGTGTTAAAATTCAAATTCTCATCTCTTTATTACGACGATCAATTACTGTTTAGAAGGTCTATCATGCAAGATTTTATTCGATATAATCATTTGTAGATTTGAATAAATCCGTATGCTCAAGTACAATAAATAAATTTGTATGTCTACCTGAATATGCTTCCTCTTACTTTTAAATTGCAAATTTCGACCTTGTTCATCGATGAATGGAACCATATTGGATAATCAATAATTTAATATATTCTCTCTCATTTTCTTTATCAGAAAAGTAAAACTGATGCAATCAAATATAAATGTTAATTGTCAAAAAAGAAAGTTTTTTTTTGCTCTGTAAACGATAGATTCATTTAGCCTTTGTTAAGTCGATAAAACGATTATTTAACGGAGATTTTGACTAATAATGTGGCCAATGAGTGATGAAATGATTATATCAATATGCAAAGAAAAAAAAGAAGTATACGTGTATGCATCACATAACTTTGATATTTAAATCTGTCATTGCTTAGTTCAAGTTTATATGATGCAAGTGGTTGAAACTCATCTTATTCGAGGTCTAGAGCCCATAAAACACTTTAATGAGTGTTTTTATTTGATAACCGTCTTTTTTATGGTTAGGAACAAAATTCAAGGCATGAAATCTTTCCTTTCTCCTTTAGTTCAAGTGAGCTTCATGTTTAAATCAAACGAACCACTATTTGGAAGCTTGAAAATATAATTTGATTTTTGTAACCGAATCAATTAGAAGTATTTTTATTCTTATAAATAAAAATTTAGCTTACTTGAATATATTTCTTGAATTTCATCATCATCATCATCATCATCATCGCCATCATCATTATTATTATTATTATTATTATTATTATTACTCTTTTGATGTTTCCGTTTTTTAATAGCTGTTGAAATTCTTTTTTTTTTCGCTGATTTGTCTGCATCTTTTTCATTATCACCACTGATTCGTTTTTTTCTTGCTGTTTTTGGTGTTGGTGTTACAATTGTTATACTCGATGCGGTATTAATATTATTATTCGTTTCACTTGTACGTTTATTTGCTGCTGCATCCGTAGTAGTTGTAGTGGTGGTTGTTGCTGTTGTTATTGGTCTCAGTTTTATTTTAAAGTCTTTTGGTAAATATGAAAAATGGTTATAACGTGCTTTTTTAAAGTACATTTCTGGTAATGGAACATTTGAACTAGCACGACAGATCATTAATGAAGATGCACGCTGAGATAAAATGACATAAGCTAAATCAACGAGTACGTGCAGTTTTTTCAATGAATCTTTTCTTTCCGCTTTTTCTTCTTTATCAGGCGATATTGTCGCATCTTCCGATGATTTTATTGAACGTAGTAAACCTTTATAAAATAAACCAACTGTACTATCACAACGTAATAATAAAGCATCTAATAAAAATAAAATATAATCAGCCATTGTATGTAACATTTCAATATCATCATATAATATAAATGCTGGTGATTTCGATAGGAAAAATAAAAAATAAGTTAAAGAATATTCGGGATATAATGTATAATCAATTGGTTTATCATCGATAGCCGATGAACTATTTTCATCGTCATTATCATCATCAAAACCATTGTTTTGTTGATGACCATTTGACGTCGAAGTTGTTTTATAGGATAATTGAAGTTTAATATTTTCACGACGCGTATCAATGATTTGTAACATTAAACGATGAATTTGTTCGCGATTTTCACGTTCAGGTTCTTTAGCAGCAAATGCTAATAATGCAAGTAATTCAATCGGACATACTGGATCTCGTAGATGTTCACCTAATTTACGATATGTTCGTTGACGAATAGGTGATGATGGATCCTGTGATAAAACAAAACAATAATTTAAGTAATTTCGAAAAACAAAAACGTAAATACTTACACGAAGCAATGTCATTATCATAAGAAAATCATCTGGTTTTATACGTGTATAAAAATATGAATCACACATTAATTTCAATAAACATGTTAAGCCACATAGACGAATATAAATTATTTCGGTTTCACTAAAATTATATTAGCTTAGCGATAGAAAATAGAAAGGCGTTTCAAACATGGATATTATCCATTCTGATTGAATATGTTGTTGCGCTTAATAGTTAATCAGATACATTCTTTGAATGCTTTTACATATGAGAGACCTTAAATTTCTAGCTCTAATAGATGCATATCACTCAAAGGAAAACCAATCATTTTCAGTAATAAAAGCTCTTTTCTCTTTTTTCTAAATTACCTCATTTCGCCGGTAAAATCTTGATCTTTTTCAATCGATCTTCGTACAAGTTTATATGTAATAATAAATAAGCCACCTGAATTTTCACGTAATCCTAATACTGCACGAGTCAATGCTTTGATTAATTCACGCTATAGGAAAAGAGAACAATTTTTATATAAAATTCAAATTTTATCAATTTACTTTCACACGGGTATCAGCACCAATTTCAGGATCTGAATGAGGTTCATCAGCTAATAATGTATAATGTCCTTGTAGAAACGCACTCGTCAGATTTTCTTCATCAAAATTATCATTCATTTGTTTTTTATCGATAACATATTTCGAAATATTATTAAGTATTCGTTTGCCCATATCCCCAGCGGCTGTTGGGCACATCTTAATTAGATGACCAAGCAAAACAAGTCGAGTAATAAATTGATCACTATCGAATTGATCATATTGTGTATCCTAAAGATAGTTAAATAAATAAAAATGATTCTCATGGTTTTTCTTTCGTTTTTTATACATCAATCATCTTTTGTGCTAAATCATCTTTTTCCTTCGGGTGAAGTGCACACATACAATAGAGTGCACGTTTTGCAATTGGCGGATGAAGAGTCAAATAATTCGAAAGTTCAGCATCGAGAAGGCTATAACGATTGAACGAAATTTATATGGGGAAAAAAATAAATATTTACTTTATACATACGTTAACATACTCTGTTGTTTTGATACAATGATCAATGGTGCACATGCTTCGATGGTACGTAAGAGTACAGGAGCTGGAAAGAAAATAGAAAAGTATTTTCGGAGATGATTCTATTAGGATACATACCGAATTCAAGTACATGTTGTTTTAACAAGTTACAAAGCAATTCAAGTGATTCGGGAGAATTGAAAATAAATGGATGTTGAATGAAAACCTAATAAATACAAATGTGTTTATTATGAGTTTTAAAATTCGAAGATATATTCTGTAAAAATTAATGATTGACTTATATAGAAAACTGTGATATTGATTCAATTTTAGCCACTAAGATGATGAACTGAGCTGTTGTTAGCCTTAAAACAATCTACATTTACCAGAGAAACTAAATTTCGACTGAGAAATAATTCTTAATCAAAATTGCTTCATCGAAACAAATTACAAAAGGACTATAAAGATTTATTATCCATCCAACAATCACTAGCATTCAAAGTTGTTTTAGTTCTAAATGAACGGCACTGTGTTAGTTATTTCCTTTGACAAACCTTTAACAATTGATTAACATTCTCATAATACAATGCTGGTTGTTCTGGCTCTAAAATAAATAACAAAAACAAAATTGAATATCTATTGATTCTTCCTATTAGTTGTATTTTACCACTGGATACTCGTTCAAATATAAACTGAAGTAATTTACTGACTGTTTCTTGATCAAATAAAAGTGTTGAAATCTTTTCAAACATTGTTTTAATTAAACCACACATTTTCGTAAATTGTCCCTGAGTATTATTTTCATTATTTGTTGTTGCCGGTTGCTCTCCACTTGCACCAGTTGAAAGACGTTTTTGTTCTTTTGCTGCTTCATCCAATAACATTTGTCCTATGCCATTCTGAAAAGTATTTTTTTCAAAAGCTACATAAAATTATAAATCAATAATAAAAACATACAGCTAATGCATAGCATTCTTTCGATTTAACTCCATCTGATATAGCTTGTTTAAATATTGATAAAATACTTGATTCATTATTATTTCCTACTGATTGTTTATGATTTTTAATTGCATAAATCGCAAATGCTTTCAATACAGATTCATTTTTCTCTGGTTGAGGTAAACAACCTGATAACGAAAAAGTAAGATATTTAAATTAATAGATTTTCCATAGGCTACATACGTAAAGCAACAGCATGAAGCAAATTAACAAGTTTTAATTCGATTGCTTGTTTTTCATCGTTGGAAACATTTAAATCAGCCATCTGTAAACATAAATCAATTAATTTATCTAATTGTCGACGAAACCTAATGTGGAAAAAGAGATGATATCAATCGGAATCTTCAAATTCAAAAACAATACTTACAAAAATTTGCTATGAATGATTTCACGAATTGCTCTAAACGAAAAAGCAAACATTTACGTGTTTGTTATGATATTTACAGTAGCACATGTCAAACAGATAATAAGTAATTGTCCTCTCTGTTTACTATAACGAAAATTCATCTTACGTGTCAGCTGCTCGATTATCTTTGCACATCTTCTTTAAGATTAGATAATATTGAAAAGTAGCCATACAGGTAGATCTCGCCTCGGGAATGAGATTATCTTTTTTCAAATAACTTTCTTACAAGCTAATCATATCTCATGGGATACATTCATCTGTAAAGTCAAACCTATGATTCGATAGAACGAATGAAGATACTTTACAATTTTTACAAAAACGTTTTCTTTTTTCCTGACAAGAACAAAAATTCACTATAAAGCAACTTACCTTTGAGCATTTTCGCTCACATTCGAATATAATGTTAATAAAACTCGTATTTTATCATCTGTTTTAACATCCCATGGCATCAAATAGAAAGTTAAAAGTCGTTCGACTAATAGTCTAAAATAAATAAAAGTTTATGAAAACGAAAAATATTATCTTAACGCCTCTTACTTGTCTTGTGTACTCTTTTGATAATACAAATGTATAATACAATTTGCAACCCATGTTAATTGCTTCTGAATATCTTCAGACCAGTTCGCATTAACACATTCTTTCTTATAAACATATCCAAAATAATCGAGTGCTTCTTTACGAACTTCCCACTATGAAAAGGAATAAATAAAAATATTGATTATCGTGTTTCTTTTATCACATACAATTTTATCTCTTGCACGTTCACATAAAATTTGTTTCATTTTATCACTTATATCAATAAGATTTGAATTAGTTATAGAACGAATTTGTGTCATCAATTGTAAACGAACATTTGTATCCGTTGAAAGACTTAATTGAACCATTACATCTAATGAAAAATGTTGTAAATTTTATTTTTCTCCTGAAAATGATTATCTACCTTCGAGATCTGTTTTTAATTCTGGATGATTAGTAAAATAGCTTTTTAAATATTTAACACAACTTAATTGAATTTCAGATGATCCAGTTTTAAATCTAAACAATTGTTTTACAGAAAAAACGAAAGAAAAAAATGCTTAACCTACTGGGTAAGAAATGTATTCCATAAACTTTTATATTTCTGAGCAAAATCATTGTTAGGCGCACTTGTTAAATACGCAATAATCTTTGCAGCATCATGACGATGTTTCTCATTGGGTACCTATAAGAGATTTGTTTCGGATTTTCTAATCAATTTTTATTACTTACTGTTAATCTTTGTTCAATTAATGGAATAAGATCAACAACAATACTATCTGATATATGACATAAGGAATCAAATACATAGTAAATTTTCGAATGTAAATGTAATGATTCAGTATCCTCTGCGATAAGAACAGCTTTGAAGTACTAGAAAAAAAAATTAATCATCGATTGAATACATTTTAAGATTTGATTTTCCAAACTTACGTCAGTAATAACTGGTTTAAGAATTAATTCACCACGACGTATTATTGATTCTACTAATTCATAACATTCTTCACGTAGTTTCTATAAAGAAAAGTTTATATAAAAATTATTCTGCAAGACTTGTAGAATTTTAGTGAATGACTTCAACTAATCCTATAATCTGTATAAATGTTATTAGTGTGTACTATAGAAATGAGTCACCCTAAAATCCAAAAACGTCCATGAAGTTTTTTTCAGCAAACATTTTAATCACAATTCTATCAATTTAGTTAGAAGATGATTCATTAGTCGCCGAGAACAAAGACTTTCGTTGCATAAATTTATCAGTTGTAAATCTGATTATTAATATGGAATGAAGTCATTTATGATTTATTGTTGTATTGACTCCGACTTTTAGTTTTTTTTTTTGAATAAATGAATATTTAATATAGGATGTAGAGAATAATTGAAGATCTCTCTTTATACTGGTGCTTTTCTGAAAGAAGATTAAATTTCTCTGCACCAAGTCTTTCTATTCTTCTAGCATACCTTTTCTGGATCAATAATTCTTGCAAAAAGTAATTCTAACAAAGCAAATGGTATTGTTTCATATTCCGCTAAGATAACTGAAATAATTTCGATCATTAAATTTTTTAATTGATCTGAATGTTTTTTTCTAGAAAAAATGAAAAACAAAATTCTAATTCATTGGACAAATAAAAAGAAAAATACATACTGTACAGCATTAAATAGATTATTAAATACAACTGAACTTATTCGACAACCTCGATTGTCTTCAAGATTTACTGCTGGAATGAATGATTGAACCATACTTAAGTTCTAACGAGAAAAAAAAACGGAATATAAAATAAATTAACTAGTTGTCGTAAGATTTTTTTACTTCAAGTAAATAATATCGTCGAGTAAATAATGTATCATCGATTTTCTTTAATCCAAGTAATTGTCGAGCAAGAAAAAGAAACATAGTCTATAGAAAAAATAGTGTTAGATTTTATATTTCCTAACGAAAATTATTCATACCAGCATTTTTTCCGGTGATGCATCCGGTAAATTTGGTGCATAGATACGGATTACATCCGCAAGACATATAGCTGCATACAGTTGGATATCAGCACGTTCATGTGAATAGAAAAAATCATCGAGTAAAGTTTTAAATAATCCCGTAAAGAAATGTCGTTTCTCATAATTTTGTGGTAATGATTGTAGAAGTCTTTGATTTTTCTATAAGTGAAATTTTATTTATAAAAACACAGAATATTAAAAATGCAATTATTTACAGTTAAATTATCAAGTAGTTTATTGGTTGGCAGACTTGGAAGAACACTTAGTACCTGTGATGGTTGCACATCAGGTACAGTACTTGATGACTCTGTCATTTGGTTTAACTTCAATCAAAAAAGAACAGTTATGGAAAAGAAATGAAACAGCTTCCTTTGTTCGACTATTCGACTGTTTTGATTGGTTTAAACATTTATTTTAAATCATAGATGGCGCTAGTTTTCTTCGTGATATTGAAGTTTTAACCCTGAACTTATGTTTGTATTATGCGATAAGCAAGCCAGTCTGTGAATATGCTACAGATATGTTAGTTTTCGCGAGATTTACTTTTTTGACAAGGTTTGACAAAAAGAAATGTTGAATGAATATACATGTAAAGCTCATGGTCATGTGCAAGTTGAGTTTGATAGTGAGCAGTTGTTTAGAACTGGAACAGCGCATATGAGATCCAACGTATATTGTAGTTTAGAAAATTCAACAATAATTGGTCACTCGTATTTGAATATGAAGATGTTGAATGAAGTATTAGAGAGAAAAAGGTAGAAATCGATTTTGAACGTAAATCATATTTATAACGACTTATGAATTAATTAGTAAGTCCGCATCAAGCGTACGCAATCGGATGATAGAACATTCGTAACATATTGAACTCAGTAGTACACTTTTTAATGTCCAAGGTATTTTATGCAAACAACCAACGCACTTGACCTTCAAATGTGACTCAACTATTATGTGTTTTCAAAATAGATAAGTATTCTTGCTAATTTGTAGTTAAATTAAGGATTCATCGGACTATATCAAATATATTGTCCACCGTGGAGTTTTTCCGCAATGCAATGTTGAATTTAAAATTTTTTTTTTGTATCGTTTAGTTAAAATTGTAAACACGTTACAAGTAATTAAAAAAAAGAAATCATCAGCTATGTTGAGTAATAGGTGACGTTTATTTTCTATTTCAAACATCTCTCTATTCGATTGAATTCCTTTAAGCTAAAACCTCGTTTCTCTATGAAGTAATTCGAATTTCGTTTCTGACAACATGTTTCTTGATTTGAATCATCAATTCCACACTCATTTTTATCTACAACAGAATTCTATACTAGCAGGATTAAGCACTAAATTTCGAAACATTTGTAAGAATACGAATATTTATATCATTCACATAACAGAAAAATCATCTTATTTCGTTCCTTTTTTTTTCAATCATAAAAATCCCACTCATAACAAATGCTAAGAAAATTGATAATAATAAACAAAAGGAAAAATTTTTCAATTGAAAAAGGTAAAGACGTACAGATCTCTATTACTTTCACAAAAAAGGAAAAAAAGGCCTGCAATCACTGGACGGATTTGATTAGTTTCATTTATGAAACAAGCAAAGAAAACTAACGCAAAAGAGAATTGTTTATTTCTTATAATTTGACTAAGTTTTCCAAATGTTCACCGTATTTTCCAAGCACAAACATAATAACAAACCCTAGTATTAAACCACTGTTCTGACATAATAATATATTGAGCTTTAATTTGATTGTTACTGGTTTTTTTGCTTCAATATAATCTTTTTCGATTTCGTCACCCATCGCCACAAGCTCGGGTATCTAAACGATAATATTTTTAATCACATAAAAACATTAAATTAAAATTTTATACCATATCCGCAAGCCCAATATATACAAACATGCCTCCAGCTAATGCATAGATCCATGGATGAAAGTGTTCAAGTTCACCTAATATGACATTAAATTTTCTTCTAAATTAAATTTCCTATTTCAATCCTACCTAATTTAGCACCAAGAATAAACCCGAAATAACAACTACATGCCGATAAAAAATTCATTACTAATGCCTGTCCAATAGTCAAGCCGCTACTAAGCAAAACTGCGATATCACCAAGTTCGTGAGGAAATTCTTCAAATATAATCGGCAAAGATAATCGAAGACCTTCACCAATCGATACCATAAATGCAGCCCCCAATGTTAAGCCATCTATGAAATTATGCAACATATCTCCAATAAAGATCATCCATCCGGCTGCTTTCATCTTTTTTAAATTTTCAATTAATCCACGTGTACGGCTTTTCTTAAACACTTGCTAGAAAAAAAGAACGAAGTAAATTGAAAGTTTCTATTTCGATTTTATGAATGCATAAATGATTTTAGAATTTATAAGCATAAATCACTTTTCAGGCACCCCACAATTAATTAGCTATTGGATTACTTAATAATTAAAATCAATCATGTTATATCATGCAAGCAATAAATCAATGTTTCTGAAATATAAGAATTTCTTCATTTTTAACTATAATTAATTCATGTTAACTATAGAAAACAGAAGATATTGATTTCATCTTTTTTTTTCTACCTCAACTTATCTTTATAAGCAGTGTGATTGTTTCGATGGAATATATTTGTGATATTCAAAAGCAAAGATTGAAGAGAAAGGCAACCATTTAGTGTTAATAATTTGAATACTGGAAATTGGCTATTTTTTTTTTTACATTAAAACTATGGATTCGAGAAACTGTATATTACTCAAAAGGCGATTATTATCATGTGCAGAATCACATTCGTGAAAAATGTCGGTTTTGTGCTATAAAATCATGTATAAAAATAATATACTTAAATCGATATGTAGTAATATAATACACATACTTCAGTAGCAGCCGTAATGGATACATCTTTTGAATTAGCAAACTTTGAAGGAATAGAATCACCATGACAGTTTGATTCTGTCTATAATAATCAATAAAAACACTAGCAAAAACTATTCTTTAACCAAGAGCATGATCAACTTACTAATACATGATCATCACCTCCATGAGTATGTGTGCAAATAATCTAAACGTAAAAATACACACAGAAAAATAATCGAATTGAAATAATCTTTACGAACAGTTTCAACATTTAAAAAAATTCTTAACAATTGGTCACGCATATAAAAAATATAAATAATAATCATGGTTATAAGAGCCTTATCAAGATAAGTATGTTGAGGATCTCGATCTGGCGTATTAAATGCCTATTGTTAAAGTAGAATGAAAAGAAAATTGAACTTGGATGAAAATGTTTAAAAAGCAAACCATGGGAATTAAATGAAATATTCCTGAACCAGTAAGTGTACCAACGGCTGTAAAAGAATTCATTTGAATTAGTTATTACATAATAAAAACCGTTATTCTACCTAAGCCAATAAATCCACTAAGAACCCATTTAAATGTTGGTTTATTTCGAAATGGTAAAATAATAGCACCACAAAGAGCTGAGCAATTTATAAACGTCACAGTTAACAAGCCAATTAGAACATCTAAAATAATCGTCATAAAAGCATAAAAAAAAAATGAAACGTATTTTCCTCTTTACTTTTCCATGTGACTCGTCCGCCTGATTTCGCACATCCAATATTAACTTTTGCATCGATTAACGCTGGCGATAACTTGTCCACGTCACTACGAGTTAATATACCAGTGATATTACTTGCTATAATCTTCAGAGCATTCAAAAGATCATCGGAAGACTTGAAACACTGAAAATAGTCAACAAACATGAAATAGATAAAATTTAATTTGAAAAAAAAAACACTAGCATATCGAACAAACGTTCTTCGAAAAATCAATGTTTCAACAAAAAACAAACAGTAGCTGATCTGATTAGAAATTCTAAAGCTGTAGAAGTCTTCTAACTTATATTTTTTTCCTAAGAATCTAAATCTAAATTTTCTTATTATACTATCCGAATATTAACATTTACATTATACCGTTGATCAGCGTTTTTACATCATGAAGTGCGTCGACATCAGTCGATTAAAATGTTCCTCAAAATATTTTCTTCAATTACAATCCTTCAGATCTGTTTTTTAATTTACACGTTTCGAAGCCTTCGTTCGTATTGACAACGTTTCGTTACACCAAAGAAAACTTTGATTCACTGTTACTTATCTTGCTACTTGAGACACTTATACGCTCTATGCAGTGATGAACGGAACCAGAACCACACACCGGTAGATTCAGATGTCTATTTTGTAGACAATAAAAAGACTTTTATTCAATCTTTGTATAACGGAAACCAATAATTGATGTGGAGTTTTTGTTTTTCTAAAAATGATTTTTGTACACTTACTTTATTTACTAGATTCAATTTTTGTATATCATCCTGAGTTACAATATGTTGAATACGTGCAACATCATCAATACCATTTGATCGCAAGAGTTTTCGATAGAATAAGCTTAGATCAATTGGAGTTTGTAAATGTGAATAGAGAAGATTGGATTCCGATTGAGTTAAATGAATATCAATTGTTAATACTGAGCAAAACTCAAGTGTAAATATAATTGTGATAATGATACCTAGATAAGAAATCATTATCTAGAAATATACAATCAATTATTAAATAATAAAATGCTGAATATTTGATTTTTTTTCTTCGTACAGAATAAATCAAATACAATTACAAAATTTTCCATTGAGAAGCGAAAGTATTTCTACTTGATTATGATACAGAATGATAAAATTCTCGAGAAATAATTCGATTATAAAAATATTCATTCACACTTACAAGATAATAAAAAATACGAAATGGTTATCTTCTATTTTTATTACTGACTGTCAAAAACATCTGGTTCGAACAGTTAGAAAAGATTTTTCTCTGTTCATTTCTCATTCGTACTATCTCTTTAATATCAAAAGCACTCTCTGGCTTACTACTCAACGCGGATTTTCTCGACCGGAAATTATCTACTAACAGAAAAAAGATTAAATCATCGATAATTATGTTAAAATTCTTTATACTTACTAAACTAACAAGTAGCTCTTTAGAAAAAAAAAATGTACACCAAGTACAATTGAAAGAATATATTTTCTATGAATACTAACTATGTTAATATTCACTGATTGAATAAGTTCCATGCATAACATAATCGAGTGTAACCAAAACGGTACAGATCAAAAGATAATAATAGCATTTCTTTTCTTCTTATAGCTCGAATATACTTTCAGAAGGCCTTTTTATTTTTGGAGTGCCTTATAAAGTATTTCATACTGTCTCAAGCGTTAAAATGCGACAATAAAAAGAAAGCATGCATTTGAATTTTCTGCACCTTCTCATAAATATTTCAGAAGAAATAGTTAAGAGAGTATTTATCAAAACTGAAGAAAGAGGTGTCTTGTATTTTATTTCGATACAATCTAATCTTTTTTAATCTTCATCTTAGTTGTCACGGGTTTTGCTTTTTGTTTTGAATCAAAATTCATTGTTTAATAAAGTAGATTTTTGTCTCACACTCAGGAACCGTGAAAAGATCTTTACGGATCCTTAGATGAGTTCATGTTTAGATTGATCTTCAATAGGAAAAACTTAGAAAACCGAAGAATCTACCGTTCCTATGTGTAAAAGTTTTGTTTCGAAAAGAAAAATGCATTGAAATACAGGTTGTCTCTAGTGAAAATGACCTAAGATAAGACGATGGCGAACAACGATCCTTCGAACAATAATAAAAAGACGAGCATGTGTTAATGCTATTGATAAACTGCTACTACTATAATGCTATTAGTCCAATCAATAATAGTATTGTATAACACGAGATTAAGTATTCGATAACAATGATGAAAGAAAATTTCCTCATGATTTACGGATGGTTAATCAACTTTCACGACAAAAAAAAACTATTTTAGTCTCCAATAGATGCACTTGATTTTATGTTTCAAACAGTTCGATTCAACAAATAAAAGCTTCTTATCTGAAAAATGGATCTAAACTTTACCAATAATTATAATAGTGCATGAAACTGTTTAGCAATGAATGTAATATTAAAAATAGCCTAAATCATGAACAGAATATATTTACTTTTTGACTCATTAAATTGTTTTTGGAGTGTTTACTTTTTTTCAACATCGAAATCGCCTAGTGAATAGCTACGATGAATAAATACTTATATCTAACTATCAAATAAATTAAGGTCCTTTTATAAAATAAAGAAAATGAACCGTATCAGTGAGATTGGATGCATCATTTAACATGATTTGAAAACATGATTGAAGCAAGTAATTCCATATTATTAAGCAGTATCATAATCATGTAATCTTCTCTATGAGCATAGAAAAAGATTCTAAATGCTTTGAAAAATCCTACCTAATTCTTCAGATAATTACTTCCATAGTTTTTAAGACCAGAACAACCGCAATATGAATTGAGGGGTACTAATTTAACATCATTTATATAGAATAATTGTATTTCGACGAAAAAAATCCACAGATCTACAAAATTCTATTCTAAAAAATATTTTCATTTTGTATTAAATAAAAAAATTGCACTAACAAACAATTTTCTTTCTTTCTTTCAAATGTTTATCAAGTCATTAGATGAAACATTTTTTTTTATAAAGATAAGAATCTTTACGTGCTTTCGAGCGCAACATAACACATTCATAGATACGAGGTTTGGAAGAACTTGAGGTCGAAATTCGCTATGGCATTCTGTGTAGATGTTCCATCAGAAGTACATAATTACCTTGTAAATGATATTGTCGGACAGCAATATTTACTGGCACGAAATAACATGTCGTTCAATAAGGTCGAAACTAAATATCTTCTATTGTCAGAAAGTATTATTTAAAGTGTACTTATACATTTAAAGTGAAACATCTGCTAAAGTAATACTCGATCGTGATTCCGAAGCTTATTTTTGCAATGTATCCTTGAATAAATCTATCTTTATTTTTGTGAATAGCTATGGAAATTTTTATTTTTATTTTTCGCCTAGATTTCTTATAGAAAAAGACAGACTAGTAACAAAAGAATCTGTAAGATGATCTGCTTTTCCTGTGTACTAATCCATATAATTAAACTATTGTGATCAATGATTGGAAGCCAATGTAAACCAATGATTTTTCTCAGTTTGTTCTCTATCACGATGAGAAAAAGAAGTCAATAACGCAATGATTCATCTAGGTGCCACGGTCTTCTTCTCAAATGCAATACTCAATCGTTTATATTGATTTGTGAAAGTAATTTGAAACATGGCTACAACAATCGAAGATGATGAAACACCATTTTTAAGCTCATCTTCACAACCGATGGGTATGTTTACAGGTGATATAAGTGGAACTGGAAATCAATCCAATAAAAATGAATTATCAACATTGAATGAACCAGTTTTAGACACAATAAAACGTTTGTAGCTTTACCATGTACAAGAAATTAAAATTTATTCTCTGTATTTTTTAAAGGTGATCTTGGAGCTGTTCTTCGTAAATTTGGATATGCAGTCATTCCGCGTGAATCATCGACACTTTTACAGCAATGGGATTTATGGGGACCACTTATTTTAGTTACAATATTAGCGATTCTTCTTCAAAGTAGTTCAACGAAAGCTAGTTCTGGTGTAGAATTCGCTCAAGTATTTACATTAATGTTAATGGGATCAATAGCCGTCACGGTGTGTTGTTTTTACCAAAATAAAGCCATCATTCTAATTAAATCTAAAATTTAAAAATCATTAAACAAAATGAGAATATAGAAAACAAAACGAACTTCCGAATCCGTTCGATTCTCTCCTGAAAAGTATTCAAAGCCTTAGTTACACTAAGAAAGAATACAATTGTCCGGAACCAAGTTTTGACGTATATCAGAAAGAAAACTATTGATAATTTCTAAATTAGATTTGATTTTATTACCTTTCTTCATTTAGTTATTTCTCTTCCCAAGGCATTGATTTCCTATGAAAAAAAAAATCTTGAAATATGTGTCTAACAAAACGTATCACATAGCTTTATACATATCGATCTATTAATGTATTCGAGGATGATAAGAACCATGCATATTTCTTAAGAATGTAATATCCCCCATTATATGAATTTTTCTCGTGTCAAAAACGATAACCTTGTATCATGTTGGTTTCGTTTTTCATAAATCCAATTGATTCATAAGAATTTTATTTTCTAGGTCAACTCTCAACTACTCGGCGGAAAAATTTCCTTCTTTCAATCTGTTTGTGTTCTTGGCTATTGTCTATTACCATTATTACTAGCAGCAATAATAAATAATACTCTTTTATATATTTCAAGTAAATCGGCAATACCTGTTTTCCATATAATACGATTTTTAATCGTAATGGCTGCTTTTGGTTGGGCTATGTATGCTAGCACTCGTTTTCTTGGACAAACTCAACAGCCAAGCCGTCGACTACTTGTACTGTATCCGATATTTTTATTTTATTTTCTCATCGCGTGGCTTATTATTCTTCATGCACACCCAAAATAAATACCAAAATTTTCTTGATTATCTTCTTGACTTAGAATAAATGTGTATTTGTTTTGTTTCTCAAAACGGAAACCGTCTATTTGATCTCATAAAAATCACAAGCTGGGTCATGCGTTTCCAATTCATTGAAAATACCCGTAATTTTTTCATAGGATTAAGTCTGGGATTCCTATGAAGACTGCATATGAGACAGTGACACTATAAATTGACTCAATTCTTGGTTTTAAGATAAAAACTGCTAGAGCGATTCGTGAAATTTGATGCAAAACCTTTTCTAGTAATTTACATACTCAAAAATCGATCTGTACCAGTGAAAAATGTGTTTTTCTGTAGTACCCAATGAGAAGTCTATCAAGAATAAATTTTATCCGATTACTGCGTTAGAGACTACTAAATCATTTATGAACTATTCATTAAAAGAAAACATTCACTTCTACTAACTGCACCATGGAGGTCGCAAGTCCGGTAAAAGGATGAGCGTTAGACGGAAGGAGTGCAGATACCGTCGTCTGTCAAAAAGAAAAGACGAAAGAAACCAATCATGAACGATCAGAATCTAAAATCATACCGGCTCAGACGTCACCCGCGTGAAGAAGGTCCGAGTCCTCTGTCGAGTAAACAGGAGATAATCGAAAAATTGGATACTGGAAACACAGGAACAACAGCAACAGTAACGTCAAAGGTCAAAATTGGTAAACAACGATGGAAGATAATGAAAGACACACTTACAGTGGGTACCTGGAACGTTCAAACGTTATGGGTAACAAGAAAACTAGAACTGCTAAGAAATGAAATGAAACGTTTCAGATTCGATGTAATTGGCATCTCTGAAGTACGTTAGACAGGAAAAGGAGAAATATCAGGTGGTGACTTCATTTGGTCAGGAGAAGATATTACACACAGCAGAGGTGTAGGAATGTTACTATTTGCAAGAGTAAAACATATACCAATAGGATACAATCCGATTAGTTCACGAGTAATCACGGCTAGATTCCATACAACACCATTCAAGCTCACAGTAATACATGTGTATGCGCTAACATCAGCATCATCAGTCGATGAAATCGAAATATTCTACGATAGCATCGAACACGCACTAACACAAACGCCTAAAAAGGATATAGTAATCGTAACTGGTGATTGGAACGCAAAAGTTGGCAGTGATAATACAAATTGGGAGTTGGTCATGTGTAAATATCGATATGGTAACAGAAATGAACGAGGCGATCGACTCCTAGAGTTCGCAACACTACACAATCTAAATATTTGTAATACACGATTTCAACAGAAAGCAAATAGAAAATGGACGTGGGCATCACCAGATGGTGTGCATAAAAGTATGATTGATCTAGTGCTGATTCAAAGGAGATGGAAATCATCAGCCACGAATTGTCGAACATTTCAAAGTGCTGATATCAGCTCAGATCATTCTCTAGTGCTTTGCAACATCAAGTTAAGACTCAGAAGGTGATGCATCAAGCCGCAACAGAATCGCAGACCTGATGTAAATCAACTCAAGAATCAGAAAAATAGAGAAGCCTATCAAGCTAGACTAGGCAGCAGACTTCAAGATATAGATTCAGATTACAACCTAGAAGAACATACAGCGAAGGTCGAAGATGCGATAAAAGAGGCATTAAAGGCAACTGTAACTACTACAAATAGAGCCAAAAAGCCCTGGATCTCTGAACGAATCCACGATCTAACAGATGAAAAACGTAGAATGAAAGAAAAAATGAACGTTTCAGCAGAAAACGATCGGCTATATAAAAGCTTGAGCAGTAAAGTAAAGAAATCGACATGGCAGGATAAAGAGAACTGGATCCAAGATCAGTGCGAAGAAATAGAGAACGGCCTAAAAATTGGAAATACCAGGCAAGCCTACAGCTTAATCGAAACACTGAAAAAGAAGTTTGTACCGCGAATAACGGTAATAAGAAACCAAGATGACACAATGCCACAGTCAAAAGAGGACGTGAAACAACGATGGACACAGTACTGCAGCAGGCTATATACGGATGAAGGCGGTGGAGAAGAGATGTTCAAAGAACTGGAAAGTATCTTCCCATCATACGAAGAAGATATCCAATATATATATATATCGTGTATTCCTAAGTAGAAGAAGCAATCTGGACACTAAAATCCAACAAAAGTTTGGGTTCAGATGGTATCACAGCTGAGATGATCCAAACTGGAGGTGAACAGCTTGCGCACGAAATTCACAAGCTATGCAACAAAGCATGACATGAGAGAACAATACTAGAAGATTGGAGAAAATCTATCCTGGTACTAATACCAAAAAAAAAGGAGATCTCAGCGAATGTGCAAACTATCAAACAATTTCACTCATAAGCCATACAGGTAAAATCCTAGTGACAGTGCTGTTAAATAGGCTCAAGCGGCACCTGGACCCATACTTGTCGGAAGAACAAGCAGGATTCAGACAAGACAGAAGTACAGTACACCAAATTCTAATACTCAGGCTGCTTGAAGAAAAAGAAAAAAGACAAGGGAAAAAGATATACAACTGCTTCATCGACTTCCAAAAAACCGTCGACACAATCACACATAAAATCACATGGGCTGTTCTCAAATCATACGGAGTTGAGAACAAAATGATTACACTACTACAGAATATACATATGAAAAGCCCAATCAGCAGTACGAGTGGAGAAGGAAACAGAAGAATAGTTTCAAACCAGTGTTGGAAACAGACAAGGAGATCCTCTGTCACCAGTACTGTTCATCACATATCTCGAACGAGTAATGGACACGGCAATGCAGACCAATGATGGAATAAATATCAGTGGAACACTAGTGAATAACCTACGGTTCACTGATGACATTGACGTCCTAGAAGAAGACTGCGAATCACTACATCAACAAATAGAACAGCTAAGAGTAGCAGCGGACGAAGCAGGACTAATCATGAATACAAAGAAAACAAAAACACTGGTATTCGGTGACAGAACCATTGAAAAACATGTTCAAATAGCAGGAAACACAATAGAAAATGCAGAACAGTTCGAGTACCTTGGTAGTCTACTCACATGGAACAACAACTGTACTGATGAAATCAGGAGAAGAATAGGCAAAGCAATAGGAGCAATAGCTGCAATAAAAAGCATTTGGAATAGCAGGAAAATAAAAATAGAAAATAAAATAAGGATCCTAACCACTTGTGTCTTCAGTGTACTATTATACGCATCAGAGACATGGACACTGAAGGAAGTCGATCGAAAGAATCTACTGGCGTTCGAAATGAAATGCTATCGAAGAATACTACGGATCAGCTGGAAAGATATGATAAGAAATACAGACATAAGGAAACAGATAGCAAGACAAGAGACCATCATAGATAACATCAAGAGAAGAACGCTGCGACTGTTCGGCCGTATCTGTCGAATGATTGATAACAGGCTAATAAAACACACTGTATTCGCAAGAATCAACGGAAAAACACGAAGAGGACGTCCATGCAGAGAATGAATGGGCGATATAATAGAATGGTGTGGTCACAGCAGACAAGATCTGTTCCACCTTACGCAAGATCGAAGGAAATATATAGAAAGAAATTATTTGAGCAGCGGTTGTCCCCAACGGACGATAAGCCTATGAGACATCATGAATCATGAATTCACTTCTACTATATAGACACGGCTTAAATTCTATACTATTTGCTTTATACTTTTCCATTATTGTAAATTGACTCGAAAGATAATTACGGAATTTTATATTACATAAAATATGCAGCCATGATGACTTCGAATTCGCTCTATATTATAGGTAATCGATAAAAAAAATTTCCCCTTTTTAGTATTTACGTAAGAAAAAAATATGATTGGCAAGTACAACATTGATTTTTTCGATTCACTATTATTTCATAGTTTTACAATCATACCACTACGATTCGATTTGAATTAGAATGCAATGCAGGGTACCATAACCTTATTTTTTGTTTCTTTGGCACGTTTTCTTCTATTTCGCTTCAAAAATCAACAACAAAAGAAAACATGCTTAACATAACAATAATAAGTGTTTAAAACAGAATCGATTCTCAATAAAATACTACTTAGAGCAGACATAGGTTGACATTTCGAAAGCAGAATCAATAAACGATAATCTATTAGTAATACATAAAAGAAAACTAAGAAGAGATGCTTCTATCTGTCTGGCTTATTCTTGTCCGATTACTTTATTTTTCTTATTCGTTTGAGTTTTCACTTTAGTATGTTGTACCCATTGTTAATATTCGTTTATAAAACTTCCTTTCGATTTATCGTAGATGAACAAAAACACAACTTTTTTTAAATACATATACATCGTTCTAATCATATTTTCGAAAAAGTTTCATTTTGCAAACTGAAAATGTCTAGCTTTTATAATTCTATAAGCAGAACACAAAGTTAAATGGTAATTATAGAATGTGTAACAGCTTGAAGCTATAAAATAGATAGACATAACAAAAATTACGATGATTTCATTGAATATAATATAGATAAAAATAATTTCTAGATATCAATGTCGAAGTCTATTAAATATAGTAATTAATCTGAAAGATCAACTATCCATCGTACTTTATATTTCTCATTTCGATAAACACACAAAGAATATATCACGAGCAAGATAGAAGAAAAAAGAGAAAACAAACATCGACGAACAGAAAGAAAAATGAACTTTAAAAGCAAAGTTATATGCTCAATCGCAGGAAAAATTATGTAGAATATATATATGTATATTTATGTATAAATATATGAAAGAGGAAAATGAAGTAGAGAAAAAAGAAAGAAAACAAACGACGCATCAATATTCAGAGTATGTACTTCTAGAAATCAGCAAATTCTCTCGGATAACGTTCGGTTGAGCTAACTGTTAGTGGTTGTTCTTCGTAGATTTCATAATTTTCTCTATCTGTTCGTGGTATAAATGGAGCTGGAATAGATTTTTCATAGATAGCAATAAAGTCCATGTCTCGAAACCACCGGTGTTCTTTTATATCTCGAACACCAGATTTTAGATTTCCATACCGACGTGTCAAGTCAACTTGAAGTAAGTTTTTAAGTAGGTCTTTAAGATCGACAGTGAAATGATTTGGAAAACGAACACGTCCGGAAACGATCTTTTCATAGATTTGTATTGGTTGATCAGCAAAAAATGGTGGATAGCCAGCACTCATTTCGTACTAGATAAATTTAATCGAATAAATTTCTACTGTTCATAAATTATTACTCACCATAAGTACACCTAATGCCCAATAATCAACACCTTTATTATAACCACGACTGAGAATGATTTCTGGAGCCAAATATTCTAAATGTCAAATAAAAAACAATAATTAGAAATATTAGTTGAAATAATTTTGATTCATCTTACCTGGTGTACCACACAATGTCCATGTACGATCTTTGACACGTTTCGCAAAACCAAAATCAGTCTATAAAAATTTTAGAGAAACTTTTGAATCATTGAATTTTAAAATTAAAATACCATTTTCAAATAACCATCAGATGCAAAAAGTAAATTTTCTGGTTTAAGATCTCTATATATCTAAAACAAAAAGCAAACGATACAATTTTCGAATTAACAATTCTACGAAACTTACAACGCCTAAATGATGAAGATATTCAAAGGCAAGTACAATTTGTGCAGCATAAAATCGTGTCATGTCTTCAGTATAACGTCCAAATGCACGTAAATGTGTAAACATTTCTCCACCGGGTGCATATTCAAGTCCCAAATATAAATAAGAACTATCTTTAAATGTATACAATAATTTCACAATGAATGGACATGAGAGAGCTTGAAGAATTTTTTTTTCGGCTAACGTATGATCGATTTGTTTCATTTTAACAACAACTTGTTTATCAAGAATTTTCAAAGCAATTTTCTCATGTGTACTATTGCGGTGTGTAACCAATAATACTCGACCTAATAGATTCAAAGTAACAATAAAAAAAAATGTATTTTGTTTATATTTTGAAATTATTCTTACCAAATGAACCGGTGCCAATCGTACGTATTAAATCGAAATCTTCTAAACGGCTATTTTGTTTAATAGGATTTTCGATTTTTTCGACAAATTTTTCTTTTTCTTTATCAAGAAATGTTTGTATATCGCTTTGACTTCGTTTAACATTACTACCCGTTTGACCCATGGTTAAATTAGGATTAAAAAAACTATTCGAATGCGTTGAATTACTTCCACCACTTAATGGTGTTGAATTAAAACGAAAGAAACTACGTTTAACTGAATCAGAACTTGTAGGCGTAGCCGGAGATCTTGATGTTGAACGATGTACTGATTGATTCGATGGTGACGGCGATGGAGATTGACCAGAAGATTTATTTAAACGTAGATACGAACGATTCGATGATGATTCAGTTGGTGTTGAGACTGTTGGCTGATAACTATTTGTTGATACTGTCGAGTTAAGCGGAGGTGGTGACCTTGGTGATTCAGGTGAGCTAAAAAAGACAATAAAGATAAGATAAAAATAGACATCGAAAGCCATCGTGCTGAATAGATAAACTCTGCGTTCATATTTAGCGAAAAAGAAAAAAAGACAACTGGAAAGGATATTCATCGATATTTGAATTATTATTTATGAAGTCAACTACGATAAAGTTGATTGTCTTTCTCTGTTTCTGATAGGCATTTTTCTGCTTAATATCCAGCTGCATTTAATTCTCAATACAGAAATTCTATTACACGATCCATCTGATAAAAACTCCCATTCTATTGCCCCTCATACACAGACAAATCATCTCTATTTCAATAAACGATGCATTTATGTATATATATCGAGTTCATAGTACTAATAGTAAATCGAAAGCAACTACCAAAAATGGTACTAGTAGAATGGCCCGTCGATAGCATACAGAGGCATGCCTCAAATTATTATGCATGATAGCGAGATAAGAAAAAAGTCGAGGAAAAACGAGAACGATGCGCATAGTGCGTGGTTTGTTTCTGTTGTGCCTCTTTCATTCGAATCGGCATTATACACTGCTTATAGAAAAGATGAATAAGAATAAAAGGAAAAAAAATTATACAAAAATAAAGAACGACAATGAAGGAGAAGAATAGGATATAATAAAAATGAAAAAGGCAATAATCACCTATACAAGGATCAGCCGACATATATTTCATCAGTGTATTGTCGACTATATTTTAGGTCATGTTAAATGAATGACTACCGTATAGATACTGAAGACATTTACTTTCTTGCCTCGTTTTGATAATAGACGAAAACGACCAAACTTGAGTATTTTAGACTTTGTATTTATATGGTTACAAAGTATAAAAAAGAAATTAAGCAAACAAAAGGTGACAATGGTCATTTTCATAATTCTGTGGCACAAAAAAAAACGAAAGTGGGTGTTTCGATATATTATCTTAATATTACGTGTTTTTTTCTAAAAACTTATCCTAACTTTGACAAATTTACATTTCTATTTAGAAAAAAAAAAGAATGTGATGTTTGACGAAAAAGAAAAGAACTAACCAAAAAAAGAGTGAATCTGTTATCGGTATAATATATTCATGCCAAATAACGAAATGAAAAGCAATAACGGGACTTCCATGCAATAATGTCTACCTACATCATCCATAAAGTCGGTTGTTTCACTTTAATCGAACACTTTGTTTGATACATGATTTATATTGGACAACGAAAACTCGTGCTAATTAATCGAATTTCATCGAAAGAAAATACGTACACCATCGTAATTGCCATATCGATTTATTAGATTGACGCTGTTTTATTATATCGATCATTTAGCAGACAATAATTATTTGATTTCATTGATTTGCTCTTGACAATGTCTTCAGCAACACAAGGGACAGAAGAAAAAGTTGAAAGTTAGTTAATATAACAAGCGAGTAAACGCATGCTCATGTAACACTCGACTTTTCCCTTGAGATTGCCAAGCAATAGAAAACGTAACATTGGAACGATATACAAAATAAGAACAATAAATAAGCATAAAATACGAGTGACGATCAACTTCTTTGTCAAATGTCAGTAACAACGATTAGTCGCAAAAAGTCAGAAAATGATGGGAGGCACTCGTTTTTGTGTGCTTGTGTGTCTTTAGTCGACGTACCACGGACAAAAACGATGTTGGCAAAAGACCCACACATCTGTCAACCTACATAAGACGCGTCTGTTTCATGCATAAAGATAAAAGTAACAGATCAACACAGTATAAAGAGGGTAGGATATAATTAGACTGGTAAAGAAGCATAAAGATGTTTTTTCGTTTTGATAAACTGTGTTTATTTCGAATTTAACATTTGGCATCTTTCTATAATCTTATTATCAATTGAAAAGAAAGAAAACAACAATGAATACTATTCATACTTATCAACCATGTCTAGGGAAAGAATAGGGAAAGGTCTTCAACAAGTTATTGTTGCTCTTTAATAGGATATGATAATAAATCTTATTAGTACAAAAGAAACGAAACAACAGCAATTAGTTCCAGCGACATGACATTAAAAATAGAGTGACACTAGGAAAGAGAAGATTCTTTCTTTTTCTTTTCCCTCTATTTTCTTCCTTTTTTACATAACAAACTTCGTTAACGTTACATATGTTTTGAGAGATATTTTCATAATTTGCCTTTCTATTATCGAATGAGAAAAACGTGTTTCTTCATTTTATACAAATAATATGCTGTCAAAAATGGCGAACAATATAACAATATTATTTGCTAGACAACATTTAGACCTTCACGCTGCTATGCCAGCAGTGTATGTCAAAACATGTGTCAGAGCCAACTTATCAAGGATTCAAAATGAAAACTTATCATTACTATATAGTTGATCATTAATCTGTCGAACTGACAACTTACGCTGAATACCCGCCCATCGATTTTGCCGATAAGGTAGAAAATTGTTTGTTATTGTTACTATTAGAAGTGACGGCTTGACTTAAATATTTACGAATTTTTTTCATCATAATCTAAATCGATTTTCAGCTATCAAATAACCGTTTGATCATCTAGAAAAGAAATCTAGAAGAAAACGATTTGGACAAGTCCTTATATGTTAATTCTTGTAGCATCGATGTCGCTTTTTCTTCTTCTTCTTCTTCACGTCGTTGTTAGTTCCCATATTGTTATCTTTAATTTGCAAGCGCACGCAACCATTTTTATCATGGTTTGTTTATGCTCTCATACAGTTTTTTTCAATGTACATTTGTACCATTCGACAGTAATTATCAGCAATATTTAGAGAAGAGAGAGAAAACAAGAGAGAGAGAGCAAGAGCGAGCAGCAAAAGGAACGACGACAAACAACAACAACAACAACAACAACAGATACAATCAATCCAAAAACTATCTTAATCTCGTACATACCAAAACATTTATATTTTTATATTATCTCAATGACATTCACCTCTCTTACATATCACATAATCTTCTACATTACACACATTCAATTTTCGTTCTGTTTCTTTTTACTTTAAAACAAAGCGCAATACGATATCTGAGTCATCCAGCGATTAATTATTGTGATGAACTCTGTGGTCTTTTCTTTTCTTTTCTTTTCTTTTGTACCACACTCGACTTCAATCACAAGAATAAACCGTTCGATAAGCAATTTTGTTCCTCTTACGTTATGCTTAATCGTTGTTTTTTTTATTCTTGTGTAACAACAAATGTCTACATTAGGCATCTAATACAAACGTATGTGTACACTATCCTGATTTTTCCATATGCGTTTATTTTCCCGTCATCTCGAGCGTATAACTATCATATAGATTATAATATCTGTCTATTCAAGGATCTGTGAATGCATTTATCAAAAGGAAGAAAAAGGTCTTATCATCAAACAAGTTACAAATAACCTTATAAAAGTAGTTCTATTTCCATAAAATGTTAAAATATATTCTAACCTTATGAGAACATTAATATCTAAATAATTTTTATTTCATTTCATCAACGACACTTACTTGACTCGTTTCATTATGAAATATAATAATGAACTTGTTGAGATTTTATCTCGATTGAGTTCATAAGAATACAATTCGAGTATATATGAAGAAAACTTGGGCACCCCGAACAGAACACATTTTAGATGTATCCGGTCTTGTCAAAAGAACTAACATGTAAATGGTTTTATTTCCAACTAATATAGTATATGCTGCTTCTTCTTTTCTCTTCGTTCTAGACATTACGGGGGGTGTGCGTGAGCTAATGAACAAGATAGAAGATCGGCTGATACTCAAGATGTACATCTTTCTCTTAAATATAGACTTAGTGTAATGTCTAAAGATAGATTATTAAATTATATCACACACTCACTTTGAAAAAACACGTCATAATTTGACGAAAACAAAAACAAAATATTATTTCTCATCTATATGCAATTTCTTTAATATGCTAACTATGAAGAATCTAATGATTACCTGTACAAAAAATTCAATAGAATTTAAAATGTTGAATTGATTGTTTTTTATCCTGCTGTGTATTTTTTCTATAGATCAAAGAGAAAAACAACTTGAGTAATAATAATAATAATAATAATAATGTTATTGTTTTTTTTTTTTTTGAGGCAAGATTAATTGAAAACAAAGCTTCTTTTTGTAATTTAATTTCTTCTAAAGTATTGATAAACGATGACTGATGAAAAGGAGAAAATACTTAGGCTTTGGTTGCTTTGCTATTTGGAGGCGGATATAGTAAGTCGTAGAGGGAATATGGGAGATTTACTAAGAACATACTTACACTAGATTTGTCAGTTAGAAGAGAACATGATAATTAGTGTCTGAGAATACATATTGAAATTGTCAAACAATATGAATACGAGTTACGCGAGTTTAAAGCATATTTATACTTCAGCAGCTTAATTGATGAAAATGATTTAATTTGGAAAAAAAATTTTGTATGCACATTTAATTACATTTAAACGAGAAAATTAATCGAAATATTGTTCGAAATTCTCACTGGAACAAGGTGAAGATTCAAGATCTTCTCGTGAATTGAATTCTCAAAGGAATATGAACTGAAAGTCTTTTCTTTATTGTTAATTGTGTGCCTACTGTCTCTATGAAAATTTGTTATCACGCATTCATTTCTTTGAATTTTTCTTGGGGTCAGATAGATACGAAAATTTCTATAAAGAAATCTTTTAATAGACTTGTGTTTTGTATTGTAAATTGTTTACAATAGAAATCAAATTAACCCGATAATGAATTATCACTTCAAAAAGTGTCAACGATCGTATTCATTGGGGAAGTATATTCACCATTGATTTTCTATGTTTGTCAAGCTCGAGTTATACATCTTCACGACATACATACGGGCCCACTTATTTTTAATGTAAGCAATTTCCTGTTTACTATTACAGATACTAAAGAAGAAGAAAAGGAACTATTTATTTCTATTATGATTCTCTGATAATGACAAGGCAACTTCTTCAATGTTCAATAAACGATCATTATAAATTATTTGTCTAGTTCATAATCTAGAGAGAAAAAGACGATATGGTTATAACGTTTAATACAACGTTTAAATAATGCGAATAGCAAATAATTGATATTATCTAATGTAGAAAAATATACTAAAAATAACGCATCAATACTGTCTATAAAAAAACATACTTCCGATACGTGTTAACAGGTCGAACTTGAAGATGATTGACTCATTTAGGTTTTTTCTTTTGATACACTTACTATATTTTACGTTGAAAACTCTTCGCACGAACAGACATATTTCTTTAGCAATTGCACGAAGTAATCTTTTTTTTTTTTATAGAGTGGACTCTAATATTCTTTTTCTATGATATTAATTACTTTTCTTACATTGGCAGACGTAATAGTTTGAATCCTTCTTAATGATGTTTTTCAAATGCAAATATTTTCAAAATATCTTCACGTCTATTATATATGCGAGAATAATGAAAAATCTATCCTAAACAAAAATAGAAGAATTCATATAAAAAAGCAAAACGATTTAATCATTTTCTATCAGGTCTATTTTTAATAAATACATAATTACTTAGCTGAGTCACGCTATCTTATTTATTAATCACATTATAAGCGCAAAGTTTGATTTGAATTAATTATAGAATATTTTTTAAAACAATATTACGCGACATGCAAATTCGATCTTAATATTCGTTTTTGACCTATCAATAGAATTCTACTGAAAATAAATATAAATCACTTATTACGACAAAAAAAAGACAAATAGCGAAAAAAATTCATTCTAATAAACGACAGAAAAATCAATATAGTACCACGCAACACAATTAACTACTATCATTCTTCTCATATAAATGCAAATAATATAATAATATAAAAAAACGTATGCTTATAATAACACAAGATAAACATCAATCTTCTAAGTGCAGAATCACACATTTATAAAATAGCTAAATGCTCTTTGGTAACACATGTTTATTTGAAATTAAATGAAATAATCATCATACTTATTTGAAAACTTGTTTTTGAGTGCAGTTATTCTTTTTAACTAACAGGAACACAAAATGTGTTCACGTCACTGTATTCTCTTGTTGCATTTGATTAGCAAAAAAAAAAGACAAGAAATGACTATTGTAATGATGTTTCGTGCATCGAGAGAATGCTTTTTGACACATTACATTGAAGACAAGCGACTGAGTCTTGTCTTTTTCATCGTTCGAGTTTAATATTTCGATAAGACACATGGTATTAATGGCAGATTTTAAATTGAATGTATGGCGGGGTAATTCGTCATGACATTACATCTTACTAATCTCGAGCTAAATAATAATCACTATGAAAACAACTAAACGGAAATCGTTGAGCCATGTTAAATATTAATTTAATCTACTTATGGAGATAAAAATGTAAAATAATAAAAGCTTCCATTGATAAGATAGAGAAAATCATATTTATATGAATCTATTTTATTTTTAAATCAATGATTTCATAATTAAAATTTCTATGATTAGAAATGAATACCATGGAGTAAAAGAGTCGAACAATTTAGAAGATTTTATGCATTACTTTTCATTGAGTCAATATCATGAAGAAACCATTCATGGCATATTTTATTTTAGTGTCGTCATTTATTATTAAGCTATGAATAATAAGACCGCTGTTTTTTTAGTCAGCGTTTGAAGCAATAGAAATGCCAGATGACAGGAAAAAAAGATTTCTTTGTCTATCCGTAAATTTGGTTTCACATTTGGAAAAGCAGCAAAATGAACAACTAGTATTGTACTATTAGTTAATTTCCCTTTAAAAAAAAGTCGAACAACAGCTGCTGTATGATGATGCAAGTCGATGGTTCTCTCAATCACGAATAGGATTTAGGAATTTTACCAATAAATAAGTTCAGTCTTTGTAAAAATTATAACAACTCATTTTAAGTCTATTAAATCTGACTTTTTTTAAAGGCACAAGTGTTCATCGCTTGGCCAACATCACAAAATTGTATTTTGCAATACTCTCATATTTTGATTTTGATTTTGATTTTATAGAACATGATGGCAATATTTTATACGTTTGTTTGCGTCAAACTCTAACTAGATAATCAAAGAATATTACCTTATGACAGGTAGTTCAAATAAAGTTTTGCTCCTTAGATGCAGAGCCTGAATGAGAAAAATTAATTTTTTTTTATAGACTAAGTATATTTTATTAGCTGAGGTTTCAGCAGATAGAATTGTTGGACACTTTTACAAGATTTATGGATAGCATTGATCAATAAACGTCTAGGATTTTTCTCATTTATTTGCGTTAGTTTTTGTTGATATACTTGACGATTCTTAATTATCAACTCTTTTACTCAATAGAAAATCCAAGTATACAGAGGTGAGAAAGAATTATCCTTTGAAATCAGCTTTAATTGCATTAGTGCTATTTAGTGCCTTTAAAAAACCTTTTTTGTCACAAAGGAATAGAAAACAGAAAAAACTTGATTCTTATCTTTGTCTACCGCATAGGTAGTTCGAGTTGAATTGCATCACT